GAAAAGATTTTGACTATTTCCAATAGAAGTAAACAGTAGATTTATTCTTCATATTGTAAGTTATTGTAGAATATTTGCAAATACTATTTTCCTTTTTTTGTACTGATCATACTACTGCAGCTAGTTTACGGAAAAAACGATAATATGGACAACTTCAAACGCCTCAATCTCTCAATAATGTTCTATAAATTAGATCAAATTAATTACTACGACATCAGAAATATGTTTTTGTTGTAACATAATGTATTATAATTTAGATTTTCCATCCCATTAATTATCAAAAAAAAACATCTAACTTCCGTGAGTTTTTCCAAAAAATAATGCAGGTTTACCGTATTTTGATATTGAATTAAATAGAATTACTATCAAAAATTTTCATAAAACTAATCTAACATCATTGAACTACTGAAATATGTATATATTTGTATAATTAGTTCATTAATAATTATTTTATCAGACTCGAAACATCATCCGTAAAATGCAATATATACTCGTGCAAATCTACCTACGCGCCGATCAGTACGGCAGCGGCGCAATTTTGTAAAAGAGCTCTTAATAAGGAATAAAAAGGACAGACTGATGTCAAGTTTTCAAAAAGCAAACACGACTAGCCAAGTGAAGTGCCGGCATTAGGAAGAAAGAGTGTTTTATTTGCAGCGCTGTCATAGATTATACACAAAATGGTAGTCTCAAATTATTTTGTAACTTTTTAATATAGCTTACTTAACTGGAAGTGTCTGTCATAATCTAAATTCTGATAATTATTGCAAAAAATATACTAAGAATTATCATAAATGCCAAATTGGTGTTGGTTCTTAGGCCAAATTTAACATTGTCCTTTGGCATGCAGGTAGATGTTATGACGTAGGCATCCGCCAAGAAAGGATTTTGATCAATTCTACCCCTAAGGGGATAAAATAGGGAATGAAAGTTATAATAATAAATAAATAAATAAAAATCTTTATTGTATAAATACCAGAATACAAATCATAAGGGACCCTGGCTCCTAAAAATATAGGATTAACCTGTGTATTGGGAGCCAGTATCTTCCAAAAAATGACACATTTACTTGGTAATTTCAGACGCGTATAAGACAATGTTTAGTATTTTAAAAAATAGAATTACAAAGTTATTGGGAAAATACATAGTTAGTGTTTCATATTTATCCAGCGTGTGTGTGTGCGTGTGTGTGTGTGTGTGTGTGTGTGTGTGTGTGTGTGTGTGTGTGCGTGTGTGTGTGCGTGTGTGTGTGCGTGTGAGTGTGTACGTTTATGTTTGAGTGATGTGTGCGTGTTTGTTTATTATCTCGAGGTACCATAAACAAGACTCTCTACACCTTTATAATCGTATGTCTTAAGCCAGTCAATTATCTTACTTTTAATTTGATTGTTACTAAAGTTCTTAGTCCGAAGCGTTGTATTTAGTTTATTGTACAATAAGTATGCCTGGTAACAAAACTGTCTCTTTGCAAAAGAGCTGACTGTCCTAGGAATTCTATATTTATCTATTTTTATATTTGTTTCTTAGGTTCTCACGCACATCACTCATCGTCAGAATAATGATTTTATATAAAATCATTATTCTGACGATGCAGACCTGAAAAGGCTGCGAAACGTCAATAAATAAATAAAGTTTCGTGCATTAACCCGTAAAAACTAGTTTTATTTATCTATTTTTGTTCTTTTATTGTGCTCACTCTGTACTGTTGTTGCAAGATTTTTGTGAAATCTTTTTATGCACTGGTAAACATACATTTTTCTGACACTTAATACCCCGGACTTGTCATAGACTTCTGTGGTAGCAAACCTAAATGGAAGAAATAGCATAACCTTTAAGACAGTACGATGCGCACGTTCGGCCTCAATCATGTATGTTTTGCTTGCGCCTCCCCACACGCAGATCGCATAAGTAATGATAGACTGACACAGTGCATTAAATGTCTTCAAAAGAGTTACTGAATCACTTACAAGTCGTAGAGGCTTAAAAACATAAATCAGTCGACGTATTCTGCCCGCAATGTTATGGATATGGGGAGCCCATTGGAGTTTATCATCGACTGTAATGCCCAGATATTTCACTGTGTTTGAAACATTGAGGACCGTACAGTTACAGCTATCAGATGAGCTTTGAGATGGTAGTTTGCTATCTAAGTCACATGAGTGCTGATGTATTTGCAGAAGTAGGTCACGTGGAGGGTTGGAAGCTTTTGTTTTACCAAAGCACATGTATGTGGTTTTCTTTGCATTAAGGGTTAGGAGACTGTCCTCCAGCCAGCGCGATACCTTTTTTAGTCCTTGTTCTGCAAGTAATATGGTCTTATTCCATGTTTTGCCATGGAAGAGGATAGCTGTGTCGTCAGCGTACATAGTTAAGTCTGCTCCCTCTAGGTCAAATTCACATAGTTGATTAATGTAGATCAGAAAAAGGGTTGGTCCAAGTGTACTACCCTGAGGCACTCCGAACGAGCAAGACGTTTCTGTACTCGTGCAATTTTTAACTCTAACACTCTGTTTTCTGTTAGTGAGATAACTCTCAAACCATGACAATGCTACTCCTCTAATGCCGGCACCTTGTAAGCGGCTTGTTAAGATTGGAATGGATACTGTATCAAATGCTTTTTGCAGGTCTATAAAGACCCAGATGCACTTGTCGCCACTGTCTATATATTTGGTTATGTTATTAGTTAGTTTAAGTATTGAATCTTCTGTCGATTTTTTCAGTCAAATTGATTCGGTGATAGGAAATTTATTTTTTCTAAATAGTGTACTAGTCTTTTATTCACTAGTTTTTCAATAACTTTAGCAAGAACAGATAAGAGTGAAATTGGTCTATAGTTTGCTGCCATGGTCTTATTACCAGATTTATAAATTGGGGTAACTAGGGCTTTCTTAAGAATCTCGGGAAATGTCCCTGTTGAAAAACTAGTGTTGCACAAATGTGAGATTGGTTCAGCTAGAATATGTCTAAATTCCTTAAAAATGTAAGCTGGTATTTGGTCCCACCCTGGAGCACTGTTAGTTTTTAAATTGCTCAATAGGCCCAACACCTCACCTGGATCAACCGGACATAGTGACATCGACTGAACAGGTCCTGTAACTTTCATTTCCTTACTGGCTAGTAATTCTTCGCGTTGGTTGGTCGCTTTCAGAATTTTGTCGGCTAGTTCACGACCAACAGACGTAAAATAATTATTTACAGTATTTAGTGAATTTTGCGGATTGTCTTCAGCGTTTAATAGTTCAATAGGTACTGTTTTTTGCTGTTTCAGATTGCAAACTTCTTTTATAATTTTCCAGGTTTTTTTTGAATTACCAGAGTGAGTGTTTAATTGAGATTGATAATAATTGCGTTTCAGCGTTTTCGTTACAGAGTTGCAGACTTTCTTATAATTATCATATTGAGTTTTTAAGTTTACATCACCATCTGACAGGATAAAAGTTTTGTACATTTTATTTCTTTTACGCATACACTTCACAAGACTGGGGGTGATCCAAGGCTTTAAAGGTTTGTTTTTATTTGATATGGTTTTTCTTTTGCAGTTGTTTTCAATGCATTTTTGTATTGAGGTTATCAGGTAATCGGCCATTTCATCTGCTGTTTTTAATTGTTCGTATCTGCTCCAGGGAAGAGCTTTCAGCGATTCACCAAATGTGTCATAATTTATTGAGTATGTAACTTTATGCGACAATTTCCTCTTTATTTTTGTTTGGTTAATATGAAGTAGAATTGGACTATGGTCAGTCAGGGGTTCAAAGACGAATGAACAAACTTGTCCTGTGCTTTTGACCATGAAGTGGTCTAAGCATCTATTTTGTCGTGTAGGTTTATCAATACCTTGTTTTAAGCTTAGTGAAGCCATTAAGTTCAGATATTCAGTCGTGTGAACTGCAGAAGAATTCGGCATTATGTCTATATTTATATCCCCTGTAAAAATTATATGCTCCGAGCGATTTTTACTAAGAATTTTACCTAATGACTCCAAATACGGAATGGGGTTTTTGAAACTAGGGGACCTATAAGAACCTACTACCGTGAGTTGGTTTGGTATGTCAAGAATTAAACAACTCCCATCCACAATAGTAGGCTCATATACACGCGCATTTGCTATACTCTCTCTAATATACAGTACTACGCCATCATTCTGATTCAAATTAACTTTTGTATTATATGAGGAATAATTATCAATTGTAGGAATAATTGAGCTTTCGTTAATCCAGCATTCTGTCATGACTATTATGTCAATCAGAACGTCCAATTCCGAAAGAAATACTAAAAAAGAATCTAAGTTACAAGTAATACTGCGTATGTTGACTGTAAGAATATTAAGTGATCTACCGCCATTTTTTATCCCAGTGACGTTTTGGAAACTTGAATGATCGATTATGTTCGTGCATTTGATGTTACCAACTTTATCAATTTCACTTATGATTTCTTTATCAATATTAAAAAAGGTTATGGCCGGGGAAATTCAGTATCAACAAGTTCAAAAAGTCAATAAATTTTGTCAGTGTTGGAGCTTTATATGAAAAATATTTAAAAGAGTAGTTTCTGTTTATAAGATTTAGAAAACTAATGTGAGTGTAATTTTTTCCATAACTAGTTTTAGATAAATTTGATGCTGAGTTATGTGCCAAAGTTGAACGAACTAATAGCTTAAGACTTAATCCATTTGTGTGTGTGTATTGGTGATGGTTTGTAGGTGAAATGTTAAACCAATGAGTCCAACAAAAAGTTTGGTTATTGTATGTGTGTGTTAGTTTAGTGTAAGTGTTTGTTTTTGTGTAGCTGGTGAATTTACAATATTTTACTAAAATTGAACGTCTATAATATAGGATTATATACGTTGTGTGATTTACATGACAGACATAAAATACAATACAAGCATAGGAATTGATTATTAAAGAAAAGTAATTATAGTAATACCGTGCTACTAAGATTAAGATAGCAGTAACTATGGACATAAACAAGATATTGATGGTCTTTATAACATCAGGCAACAGTCACAAATTATTTCTTAGCTTACAAATATCAGATTCAGATTCAATACGGATTAGGGCTGCTCCTTCATCCTTTCGTAGATAAACTCTGCCATACGATGTCCAACAATATTTATAATTATCTTGCGCGCCCAATTCTCTGGCCAGGAAGAAGAGACGTCTCATTTTTGTGGTTAGGTTCTCAGAGATAAATATAGGAATTTTCGGTCCATTCATGTTCAAGTGTCCCGTATTTAATTTGTCCTCATTATTTTTGTTGAATTTCTTTAGGCCATTAAGAAACTTCTCTTTCAGCAGAACGGAGTGCAGATCAACCAATATGGGTTTCGAGGTTTTAGCATTGACTCTGAAAATATCCTTCACATCAGATTCACATAGTGGCACATTGATGGTTTTAGCCAACTCAATTACCACTTTAGACAGGCCTTGCTTGGTTTCGTCGTTTGTCCGTGGCAGGTTTCTTATTTCCAAGCTCGATGCTCGACCCTGCCTCTCTAATTGTTCTAACCTTTCTTCTAAATTAACAATATGCTTGCGATCCTCGTCCCTGGCCTTCTCCAGCTTTAACATCTTTTCCTTTGTTTCTTCATATTTGACAGCGGTGAAGTCAACGGATTCTTGTAGTTTTATATTTTGTTCTTTAATTTCTTTAATTGAGTCTAAGAGCTCTTGGAACATATTGGTCATTAAAGTTTTGAAATCCTCCAAATCACTACGCTCCACCAGTTCTTCTCTCTTCCTCTTGATATTTCTCTCTTTTTCGACGCATGTGCTTAAATTGGGGTCGCTGCTAGTAAGAAATGCAGTATTGGTAACTGGAGTTAGATTTGTAGGAGTCAATGGTGGTGTTCTTTTGAGTGGCATAGTGGAAAGTCGGATACTAGGACAGCAAAGACAGTGAACAATCAATGTCTTGATGGGTCAATGTAAATTGTTTCCGTCCACTATAACTCGACCTTAGCGCCTTAAGCGATAATCATGAGGGGTCAGCCTACACTGGTGGCAATCGACGATTTCGTACAACTTTACTTTCCGTCTAGTATAAGTTGAGCTCCCTCAGACAGAAACGGTAGGTGTTGCGGGTATTTTTGTTATTGTTTTTGTTTCACTTTACTCACTGTTTAATATCATTACTATTACACGAATCTCTCGCCTACACTTGCGCCCGCCCCCCCACGCCGAGATATAGCACATTTATCACACGACTATTCAAAACGCCTTGAACCTTTGCGGTCCTATTCACTTAAAAATAATTATTAGAAAAATTTGCGTAAGATCGGCTAGAAACACGACTGAACACCTCAGTGGTCCGAGAGGAATTCAATTTTGTATGAAACTTTGTCAATTTTAAACCGATCGGGCTGAGACTTTGCATGCAGGCATGCATTTGCATAAGAAGAATCATAGATGAATGTGATTGTGTATAATACAAGCCTGAGTACAAAAGCTGTAGTCTACACTTCAGCTCTACACCGAAGCGAAGCGAGGGCGGGCCGCTAGTTAATATTATAAAGCTAAAGTGTTGAGCGCTAATCACAGGAACAATTGTAATGGTTTTTTTTTTTTGTTTTGTTGCATAATACATTTATCAATGTAGGAAACCACGCTACGACCAATAAGACGGGAGCGTCTTTGAAAAATGTTTATGCTGCGTTAACGGTTAAAGTTCCGCATAAATCATGTATGACTGAATGCTCACCTTTAGAAATCTAAAAATAATTCACGAGGAATGTTTCTCTATAGAACCTCTTTCCTCAAATGGACAGGGTGATACGGCAGAGCACAGCTAGTAACAAATTAATAAGCAACCATGTCTCGAAAACTAACTGGACAAGAAGTCTGGATCGCTGCTGTTGCATCAATCAACATGCCGTATATATAATAGCAAAATCATTGTGCATACTCACGAAAAATAGTGCATGTTTGAACTGCTCACTAAGTTCAAGGAAATATTATCGAATTCATAAACATACAACTCATTCAAACTTCTCGAGCACTCGAATGTTTCTGTTGTTTTGTCTCCATTAATGTGCAGAACTAATACAGTCATATTGACTTCTGAAAAAATCAAAGTTTGTATTGAGAAATACTAATTGTACACTTACTTTAGTAAAACACGTGTGTGTGTGTGCGTAGTGATCGGATTATAGGCTTAGATTAAAACAAAAAGGGAAGATACGGCATTCGCGGCTTAAAAGTGATCCGCTTAAATTGTGGTCCACGACCATAATTCGCTTTAGTCACAATTTGACATTCAAATACGCTGCATGTACAAAAAGGGAAGATACGGCATTCGCGGCTCAAAAGTGATCCGCTTAAATTGTGGTCCACGACCATAATTCGCTTTAGTCACAATTTGACATTCAAATACGCTGCATGTACAAATACGCTGCATGTACACTCAATATAACAATATTGCATATATTCTGTGTTATGAAGATATAACAATGCCTTCGATGCTTTTATAAAGAACACAAATAGTTCAAAATCAAATGCCCCGGCAACACTTTTCATACGTAAAACTGTGAAATCATTTCTTTCTCAAATTCACGGTTTGTCGTGAATATTATTCACGTAATCGCCATTTTGTAAGCAAGAAAAGGACAACAATACGCAGCGTTGCAGCGTATAGTTCTGTCTCGCTTGCTCGATTGATGTTTATATGTTTATATACAGACGTGTGCGTGGCGAGAGTTGCTTATGTAGTTGAGTCGGATCATATTTTATTTGATGCTAGTATGAGTGTACCCTATCTACCCTTTTTGTTTTAATCTAAGATTATAGGGCGCATATACATCTAGACACGCGGCAGCGTGTCAAGCAAAGGAACTGGCTACCCAGCACCGAGTGTAATATTACACGTACCACGATGATGCCAATCTTGACCTTTCTATAACCCAAAACCTCTTTAATGTAAACACATAATACTACGTGTGTTTATATCCATAAGGACATCTAGAAGCCCAAAGGACATTGCTCGTTCCCCATACATTGAATGCCCTAGAACGCACAGCAATGAGAAAATGCATTCATAAACTCTCGTTAGGCATTTGTTGAGATACGGACAACTTGTGGAACCGTGGCCTACTACAGAATGTATTAGATTTTGAGGTTATAATTATTATACTTAATAGTAAAAGATGTACACTTTATGTATTCTGCATAAATACATAAAGTGTACTTATGCAGAATATGCATTAAATGAACATAAAATGCAATTAATAATAAAAATAGTAAATGCTTATATTCATATTGATTTCTGAGTGTTGGCAGTTGGCACCTACGATACTTATACCTACCTGTTGTAATAATAGATTTCTTTTCAAATGAAATGTTCAAAGTCTTTCCATTTACCTGTTTCTATATTTTACTATCGTTAATTAGGTATGTACCTGGTTATCATTATGATTTTCATAAAAATAAAGACTATCTTTACATAATTTCAGAAATAATCTTTTTATAAATATTATATAAATACGAGTTTAGTATTAACCTTTATTTCTTTGCGTTATTGGGTACCTATAACAATTGCTGTTATTTAAAAATGTGAGATCGTAAAGTAGGTTAGATTTGACTTAGCCAGTTTTTATCAGAATTAATATATATATATATCTTAATATATATAAATCTCGTGTCACAATGTTTGTCCTCAATGGACTCCTAAACCACTGAACCGATTATAATAAAATTCGCACACCATGTGCAGTTCGATCCAACTTGAGAGATAGGATAGTTTAAATCTCAAATTATAGTCGCAATTTTAATTTATTGCAAATTATTACTTTTGGGCGGTACGAAGTTCGCCGAGTCAGCTAGTATATATATAAATGTTGAATAGCTTTATAAAATGACTGATGTAATAAATAAATATATTATGCAAGTATGTAACTCACCTGCTAATACTCGACCGAAGATGCAACATGCACAAATTACGCAAAAACAAATCATGGTATGGACGTACATTGTTATTGACATCAAGTGTACTAAACCAACCAGGTAACTACAGCTACAGGAATAAGTTACGAGTGCCTGTCATGTGACACGGCTGTGACCATATCATATACCATATTAAGGACATCTTACTTAGATACAGACGAGTAAAATATTACGCAACTCTCGAACCCTTTTTAAATTGAATAAAATAGAGGACCACACGTTACGTAATACGCTTTCATTAAAACCATGAGGCATATGTACCTATAAAATGGTATATTTTATATTCGACTTCTTATTTTTGTTAACAAGTAATAAAAGCTTGTTTATCAATTTTTTTATGAGTTTTAATTTTTGTTTTTCACTATTTCTGCCCTGCAAATTGTACTTGCAGTAAGTCATTTCTGTGATTTTCACTTTTTTGCAAAAAAATTACATCCCGAGGATATAATGTATGCGTAAAAAGTATATTTACAAGTTTTTCCTTTTTGTTTTCAACCATTCTAAACGAGACTTTTACTATAACCCGCACGAGTTGTCTTGAGACCTGAGCGCGGTAGGTAGTATACAACGGCGCCCAGGTCTCAAGTTAAATCTTACGGACTACAAGTGCCAATAAGAAAGGTTATTGAAACGCAACTTTATAGTATTCAGACAGGGTATCTTTCATTAAAAATAAAAAATGGTTGCCTGTAAAGTCGGTTTTACGGGCGAAGATTTTACGTGACAACGTCTTTTTCTCGGTAGAATATTTATTGATATGAATATAATTAAATTGCACAATAGGAACAAGGAATTGAATGAAAATAAGAATTGCACAAATTTTAACTATAGAAATATATTTTGTTTACTAAAACATTGTACATGTAAACTTAAACTTAACACGAGAGACTCATCGTAACGTTACCGAGCGTTACACTTTTTCATAAGTGACTCCCAGCCGCAACCTAATTTAAGACGTTGTCACGTCAAAAACATAAGCGATTCTAATATAATAAATAATAAATAAATAAATATTTCCAACACACACACCAATTAGCCTAGCCCCAAAGTAAGCTTGTGTTATGGGATACTAGGGTAACGGATAGAATACATATATTGTACATATATAAGTATATTTATATAGAAATACATACTAAACATCCATGACTGGAGTACAAATGTACGTATTTATCACACAAACATCTGCCCCCACCGGGATTCGAACCCGGGACCTCTCGAGTCGGCGACACCATGAAACCCGGCGTACAAACCACTCGGCCACGGAGGTCGTCAGCAATATAAAAACTAATTTGAAGGATGAATGTGATGCTGTTTAATAAGTTGGTTGATATCAGGTTCCAATTTACTCAAGAACAGCCGCAAGACTATTTGTGAGGCAAAGTGCTCGTCAAGATGAATTAAACAAGCCCAAACTTGATGAGGTTGTATCGTTTCATTACAGAGTTCCTATGGCGACCTTCTAGCTCCATCACCAGAACAGATCTTCCTATGGTAACGTAACATACCATACTATTGCAATGTCATCAGTAATTTTTGATTTCTTTAAATTCAATAAATCATGGTTAACGTATTTCTATCAAAATTCGGAAACAAGGATGAAGATAAAAGTTATTTTAAAGTTGTATTATCACATCTTACGTACTAATTAATTTAGTCAAATATTATTTTAATTAGTGTTAAATTAATGTAGGCTTATTATTATATATAGCAACAATACGATATTGTGCCATGTAGATAATAATGTCCAAAGAAAACATTAGCAGGCAAAATATTTGTTTCCTGTAATGAGTAGTATATTTATCGTCTAATCTTTCGAGAATTCCAAAAATACTGTAACGAAATGTCCCAAAACTTAACAAAATTCCGTGAGATTACCTAACTATTGTTTGTGCAGTAAGTGTCGCCGCACACGGGCCACACGCCGCCAC